GCAGATTAGTGCGGCTCCGGCGATGTTTGTGTGTTCTGGGAGTGGTATTTTTACGTGTGCAAGAGTTATCCTCAGCGTGTCAAGATTGATATCGTCAACAGAGTGTAGCCCTTTTCCCCAGCAAGAGGATAGCACTTCCCCAGCAGCAGGCAGATAGATTGATATCCCCAGCCGGGCATAGCCATGGTTGGCAGATGAAGTGTTCCCCCAAGCAGATCCTGAAGGATTGTCCAGCAAGCGGAAGTTTGTTTATCCCCGTAAATTTGAGGACTTATTGACATGAGTGTCTTGTAGCCTGAAGGCTATGTTCCCCAGAAGGGTCGTTTCCCAGAGAGTCGTTCAGGGCATTTATCGCTTTCCCCACGCAGAGTAGCAGAGGGTGGTGTGTTAATCAGCCTGATGTGCTGTGTTTCCCGGAGGAGCCCGTCGTCCCAAGGTTTAAGCCCGGTTGAGATTGGCGCAGGTGGCAGTTTCCCTGAAGGGTAGCTTTTTTTTCTCAGCAGAGTGGTTACTCTCCCCGAGAGGATGGTTCCTCTTCCCAGCATTTATTTTGCTGGGGCATTTCCTTGCATCATTGCATAACAAAAGTGTAGCATTTCCGTTTCGCACGGAGCATTACACTCATCCATGCATTTCCCAGCATGTGCATATTTAGACATGAACCAGGTGGTTACCTTTTCCCCAGTCAGAGATGATTCTCTTCCCCAAGCAGATGCATCCTGAAGGAACATCACCTCCTCAGCTGAGTCACGCGCCGAAGCATGATTTCTTCCCCTCGCACCGGGTCACAAGTGCAAGTCTCATAGAAATGTTCGCGCGCCGAAGCTCGTGTTCTCCCCAGCACCGGGTCACAAGTGCAGATCTCATAGAAATGTTCGGGTGCCGAAGCTCGTGTTTTCCCCAGTAAAGTCGCCGAGGCAGGTGTCTCCCCCAACACCGGGTCACAAGTGCAGGTTTCGTAGGAAACTATTCGTACGCCGAAGTATGCAGCAACTGATAGTGTCAGACTGAAGTCTCCAGCGGAATTGGGATTCCCCACCAGAGGCGTATTCTCTCCCGAAGTCGGATGATTCCCTCTTCCCCAGTAGAGTGTTGGAACAGCTGATGTTGTATTCCCCTGCAGAGTTGTACTCTCCCCCGAAGTCGGATGATGCCTTCTACCCCAGCGGAATTGAAATTCCTCATCAGAGTTGTACTCTCCAGTGAAGTAGAATGATTTCTCTCTCCCCGGCTGAATTCGCAAAACCCCCAAGAGAGCTGAATCCTTCGAAGCAGTTGGGACCATGAGTGGTTTTCCCTAGCAGAGCGTTGAGCAGCTGATGCTGTATTTCCCCCAGAGTCGTACTCTCTCCAGCGAAGCAGAATGATTTCCCCTTCCTCAGCCGAGTTTGCAGATACCCAAGAGAGCTGAATCCTTGGAAATTGATCATACCCTGAGTGGTTTTCCCCAGTGGAGTGTCGAGCAGCTGAAGTTGTTTCCCCACAGAGTTGTCATCCCCAGAAGAGTAGCCGAGACGGCTACGCAGTTCACTCTCGCGATCGACATCGCTTTCTCTCAGCAGGTCCTAGTTCTCGTAAAGCGTCGTCCCCCTGCAGCAATCAACTGAAGTTGTTTCTCCCGCAGCAGTCAACTGAAAATCATTTCCCCAGACGGAGTCCAATTGATATTGGTGTGGCCACGTTCTCCTCAGCAGGATGATTCCTCTATCTGAGTAGTTCTTTCTCCTTGACAGGAGGATTTCCCCCTCGGCATTTATTTTGCTGACGGGATAGCATCATTATACATGATTGCATAGCATTTGTCATAAACGCATAGCATTTCCACCGTGTGGAGCATGGCGCCGAAGCATATGCATAATAAACATGATCTAGGTTGCTACCGTTCTTGTTTCGCAGGTGTTCCGTCGAAGGATCAGTTGCTCAGGATGATTCCTGACATAGTCTCCAGCAGAGTCGCCAGCTGTCGCTTTCGCGAAAATAAGGTGCCGGCATGACAGAAGAGTCGCCACCTTTCGTTATTTATCCCTCAGAACGGGAAAGGAAACGATCGGAAAAAACTGACGAAAAAGGGTAAGACAGGGTCATCGCAACCATTGTCTGGGTTCGGGAGTCGGTTACGCAAGGGAAAGGTATTAGCACCCCTCACGTCCGTCGTACTTGGACGGGTTGGTTATAATCTATCTACCTATCAAGGCTGGCTGAAAAAGAAAAGAAAAATGACTCGGCAAAGCGTCGCGCTTTATGCCTACGTATTCCCATCAGAGAATGAGAAATCATAGTCAACGTAGTTCGGCCTACGAAGGGTTATGGGGTGGATTCATCTCAGAGTTTTTTCCCTAAAACACCCAGAGAAATAATGGATTCATCTCAGAGAAGCTTTAAATCCTTCTTGGAATATTGTCGGAATGCAAACTGGGGAGGAGAACAGTGTATGGGACGTACAACTATGTCTAACTTAGTTTGTATGTCCCAAAAAAATTCGACAACCGTTAGCCTCATGAATACACTGTTCTCCTCCCCCCAGTTTGCATTCCGTCCAAGAAGGATTTAAAGCTTCTCTAAGATGAATTCACCATTTTTCTCTGTGTTTCAGGGGAAAATAGGGCGTGAACGATTTCTCTGTCTTTATTTCCCATAAATTTTGAGAAGCACGGGTGATATTTTCATCTTCTGGTTAGATCATCAAAAAAGAGGTTTCTTTTATAACATTTAGAAACCATCTCACTCGTAAAATGGGGAACTTAAAGTAAAACAGAAGCATCTTCGAGTAGCGCTTGGATTATCTTTTGGTGAAGTAAGATTGCAATCGAACGTATGTCTGTACTACATAATATGGTAGAAGTTAGAATCAGTGCATGAAGCAATCATTGTGCAGACACTAAAATGTACTCCTGATCCATGGCAAGACTTGGACAGAGAATATTCCTTGAAAAATGAGTTTGCAGCAAAGCATTTGCCTACGGTAGGAAAACCTTTGATGGTGAAACAACCCATCAATGTCCTCTCCCTCTTTCCCTGGTCTAATTGGCAATTCAGCAAACTCAGCTGACTTAGACAACATCTCCAACATACCCCTTAGTTTAGTTGTTCTCCTCAAACATGACAGGAACATGTTCATGGTCTTCGAATTAATGAAACAATCGGAAGCAATTTTCCCATGACCAATAAAATTTATTACGCCATTACTTGCAACTCTAACACACCCCTTTTTCTTCAAGTCAAAGATTGAACTTTCTACCAACTCTGAGAGGAAAATGGATGTATCCAAGGTTCCTTGTAAACCATAATAGCTAGGGTTGTTGGTGAGGCGTTGGAACATGAAGGACTCTGCAAGATAATCCACAGCATCTTGCATATTGTTAATACGTGCAGCTACAACTTCAACAAGTAAATGATCATGTAGAGAATGTTGAAGCACACTTTCGTGAGGGAATGGTCCTGATAAAAACGTTGTGTAATACTCTTTCTGAGATTCATGGCACAAAACTATGCATTTTGAATAATTGTCCATCGAAGGACAACTAGCATGGGCTTGACCCATCATTTGCAACAAATCGGTAAGAAGGTAATAAAGATGTGAATTCGCTAGCCCGCCATAACCCATCACAACTACTACATGAGTTGATAATTTCACTCTCCAACACATGGATCTGCTTAGAATGCATACCTGAATCCAACCGGTTTCAAATAACTGTCTCACAATGTCATGATCAAGACGATCCAATCCCTCGTGCAAGAAGCCAACACCTTCGCATAAAGTGGCTTTTAATATAGCATCATTAGTCTTGTTAATAAAAAGATTGAGATCTTCCAAGGATCGTTGTAAAAATGGCTTCTCACCTTTGTCTACACCTGAGTATGCAATTAGATCAGTTGTTGTTTGTCGGATGTGCTCTCTTGTGGGTACGAATACAATCACCGGCTTTCCATCCTTGGCATGTTGAGCAATAGAAGTATAAGTTGGTATGGTCATTACCCGCATCCTAGCCTCAAAATTTATGATATTTAGGATACCTTCAACATCCAGAGGATGAACAACAGGAGCGAAATTGAAAAGGCCCTGAGAGGGAGCTCCAATCCATTCTCCAAGATCCTTTGCACTTGCAAGTGTATTCGACAAAGCAACCATGCGAATTTTATTCTCAACCTCGGTATCAATGTGTCTCATTCTTGAAACCATAACCTCCAAAGTGTGACCTTCTTGACCTCCAATTAAATGGAGCTGGTCTACTATGAATAGACTAACCTGTCCAACATGTTCCCCCTCTCTCTCTCTCCAGTGGAGGGATAAAGCATTCCATTTTTGAATAGTACTGATAATAAGCTGACCTTTCTCAAACAGTTTCAAATCAGTGACAATTTCTCCGATTAACTCCACTACCTTCAACTTCAGACCACCCCCAAATTTCTTCTCCCAATCACGATACTGTTCTTTGGCAAGAGCATCAATGGGTGCAACATACACAACCCACATCACATTATGAGGCAACTTTTGATGATTCCTCAAAATTGCCAGTTATGCGCATGTAGCCTTTCCACTCCCAGTTGGAGCAGCTACTAAAACATTTTCATCCGACTTATACATAACTTCAAAAACCTGTGTTTGTACTGGATTGAAGTGTTTGAGAACCAGATAAAGAGCTTCCTATGATTGGTTTCCCAACGCAGTAACCGGCAGCTGTTTCAGATCCGACAGTTTAGTAGGCAGAGAGTACCTTTCCGATAAAATTAAATGTCTCAAAGAAAGAAGCAAAACAGTTTGGGATCCAACCCACTTATCAGATACAACACATACTAAATATTCAGAAGGAAGAGGTTTGTGTAATGGCACTGTGAAATTTAATGTGTGGTCCTCTTTAATGTACTGTTTAAACAGTCTAAAATACTCATGATGGAGGATATATTCACTAACATTAGCATTGTCCTTCAAAAATACCCAAAACTCTTGAACAAGACCATGCTTTTCATCATCCCATTCAAATGCAGGAGTTATTGTGCGCTTAACCCCCAAATTTGAGTGAGTGATGGGATGCACTTGTGCAGCAAGCCTCAGCTTTGGAAATTGAAAGTTTATAGTAACTTTCCCAAGCCAAATCTTTCTTTTCCTGATAGGTAAATACATAATCTGGAAGTTCTTCAAACTGACGAAGAGGTCGAAGAGGAGTTTGGACATTCCATACCCTCTTGGTCACTGCCTTACACAAGTTCAAAGCTTTCTCAGTCAATTGAGCCCAACCACAGTTCAAAACAATCTCAAAAAGTGCTCGGAAAAGGCTTTCAGCCCTCTGAAAAAGAAAAACAAAATATATAGGAAACAAAATTATAAGTCAAAGTACAGGAAAAATACCTGAATTATAAAATTCATTTCAGAAGTTGTTGTGAAATCCTCAAATTCTATGCGTGAAATATATGGTTGGATCAAAAAATTAATCTTCGCAGCAAAAGGCTGTTATATATTATTGGTAATTGGAATGGGAATGCGGTTTAAAAACTTTGCCATCTCAATCTTCTGATCTTGCCTGACTGTTATACATTTAAACTCTTCACTTTTGGATATTAAGTGAAAAAGTTCACTGTCTCCAATTGTAGGCTTCAAATGCTCGTTATACTTTGAAATTGTTCCATATACTACCGAGTAGTAACTTGCAATTCGACCAATATTTGTGACTTCAAAATATCGACTCTTCCTATCATACTTGATCAAACCAGTTTTTTCTAATATGACAGCTGCTCTATTAATCTAAAAAATATAAATAGATCTTTACACGATGATTTGATCCCCTTTTCATTAAATTCTTTATTAACTATATAATATCAAGAATAGACATTATCAAAGAGGAATTTAGCAAATAAAATTAACCTAATGACAAGAATTACCAACAAAAATCCAATAAATATTCAAAGAAAAAAATAATTGAACTTAAATAAAAAGTTAAAGAACTTGTATCTTACAAATGTTAGTGAAATTTTGGTTTTATTTTCATGCGGCCCTAAGTAAATTATACCAATCACAAGTTCAGACACTGTAAAAAAAAACCTAGAACCAGTACCAAAACTAAAGTAGTTAATTTTCATCCCTTTTCAAACAACTCTACATAAATCAAAATAATGACAACAACAATCTAGTAATTTGTTGTTTCAAAGATGGTTCATTTCTAATGGAACTATACTGCATAAATCAAAGCAATGCTAACAACAACCACTAACAGCAAGGAATAATTTAATCTAGTTGAGGTAATAAAAAACAAAAATAGATTAGAGCAATGAGATATGTACCAAATCATCCCTGGTCTCCTCCAATCTAACATTGTTGGTTGTTAAACCAAATACAGAAGGATTTTTCACCATTCGTGTATACAGGCAAGTGCATCCAAGCCAAAGTGATGCTTGCTTCGCATTTAGAACCGTACCAATAGCAATTGCTGAATTCAGCTGATCTGCCAGCTTGGAAACAGAAAGGTGTTGGCTGTGGTCATTCAGCAAATCATCAATATGGCCAGGTACAACTATTCCCTCGTGATCAAAGTATCCTTTATTTAGATCCGCTTTCAAAAAATGTGCTATATCCAGAGCTATAGGAAAAGCCGACAACCCCACCATACGAACGTCATTGCTAGACTGCATATATGCTCTTGAAATTATATTTTCGAGATATTTTCCATAAGCAACATCATTAAAAAACCTTATCTCATAAATAATGATGAGATCAATTTCCATTTGAGGATGATTGCTCTTCCATATCCTACTATTCCACTTTAGAGGAGTCGTTACAATAATATCTCTATCTTCACTGTGACCTCCAACTTTGATGTTAAAGTCTTCAAAACAGATCAATATATCACGAACAATATTTACCACAGATGCTTCAGTGCGTGCAAAATAGAGAATTTTATAAGGAACATTAGAACCATCATGAGTATATTTGTGCCGGCTTATCCACTCGAGTATTGTAAGACGGGCTACTTCAGGTGTTGAATGCTCAATTGGCACACGAACCAAAACGTTATCCCGATTAAAAAGTGAAACTTTGTAAACCTTGCTCGGCACACTGTTCAATTGTGTCATATCCCTGAAAGCTGCCTGTGCCCAAATGGGCATACCAGAAATGTTGATCTGTTCCTCAGAAACCTGAGATTCAAAATACAAAAAAGTTTTTTTAATCAACACTCTTCTTTAAAAAGAAAGACAAAAAACAAAAGAAAATAATTGGACTAAAAAAAATAACTAAAAGAACTCACATGTTAACTAACAGCAGACTCCATTGTATTTTTAAATTTCTCTTGCCTTTGTCAATTTCTTTTCTATGAATTCAAGAATGTACAAAATAAAATTTAATTTGAATTGGATACCACGAAAAAATCAATCTTAATGAGGAACCAATATTTGGGTCCCAACTTGGAAATAGAAAGTATGAATGGCAATGGTAAGATCTAGATATGGTATTTGGGTCCCGACTTGGAAACAGAAAGTAGGAATGGCAATGGTAAGATCTAGATATGGTACTCTAGTATAAACCATTACAGAATTTTGGTGAAAGTGAAGAAGAATAAACAATAAATCTTATTTCCAAATCAAAACAGAAAAAGAAAATAAAGGTCCTTACCCAGCCAGAGAAAGAAGATGATGATGATCAAAACCACAAACAAGAAACAGAAGTTCTTAAGGGAAGAGAGAGAGAGTTCCTTTCCACGCTGAGAATGAATTTCGTTAGATAAACATAGAGCTAAGAGAAAAAAATCAACATCATATCATAATATAAGTTCATGAACACATAAAGGTTAAGTAGGGAATTCCCAATTTTAATTGCAGAATACATTGAATTTGTCAAATCCTCGTCTTGCTCTGAGCTGGTACGTATGAATTCAAGAACTTACTAAAGAAAACGATGATGAACTGATCCAAAAAGAGAGAAGATAAGAACTTACTAAAGAAAACGATGATGAACTGAAACAAAACCTAGAGAAGATATTGGCGTACGTAGCTAGGGTTCGTTCTTGAGGGGATGAGAGATCTTTCGTTTTCCTTTTTCGCTAAGAATCAACTGGTTTCTTGAGTTACCACTTCACTAGTCAATTCACTAACAAGACTAATTTATTCTTTTTATGAACTTTTTAAATGATGTGTTTTCAAAAATTTGATATAAAACTGTAAATTTAAATTTAAATATAAATAAATAAATATATAAAACTAGTCAATTCACCATAATGGAAAAAGCTTTTATATATAAGCTTTTTCCATTATAATATTATAGTGGATCTTGAGTTAGTCCTAGTTGTTTGTAATTTGAGTGGTCAACGTTATACAACATAACACTTGCTCTGGCAGCTCCTCAACTTTGTTCCCTTGAACATGAACAAATATTATATGATAATAATTAGTAGAAGCATAAGATAAAGTTCATGTAATGTTTTTGTCATAAGAGAAAACTACATGCCTGAATTGTAAGGCCAACATCTAGAGTGCAGTTCTTTAATCTGTCCATGAATGCTTCAAATCCTTTCCTAGAGATATAGCTGAATCTATGCATATCTATATCAATTTCAAAGTAATTTTCTCCCTTTAAAAAAAATAAACATATCAGGTAATTTTCTCATTCACAATCACAAGGTATAGTAACTCTTTAACTAACACCATGTCTCCCTTCCTGTATACAACAAACAACAATTTCTTAACCAGTTGAATTACCTTTAGTTAATATGATGCAGACATGAACATATTTAAAATTAAAACAAGTTTGAAGAAGGGGAACTTAAAACCAATCCAGTAACACTGCCAACATTCACAATCTTTCCTTGTTTCCTAGCTGCCATGTGAGCTACTGTTGGTAAGAAAAAACATGAAACAATAAGATTTATGATATTAGATTGGATAGATATAATGCCATTACAGGTTAGAGGATCTTACCCGGAAATGCACATCAAACCACCCTTCTTGGTCCACACAATTTTGTATTGTCTATGGTTATTGATAGAGAAAATTTTGATCTGACTTTCTCTATGTCCACCACTGTGGCAGTCGAACAGTCAATTTCCTTTACTATACCAAGAGTTCCTATAACTTGATGTTGATGAAGATTGCTCCACAATGATGTCTACAGAAATTATAGAAAGCATAAATTAGTCTTATATGCAACATATAACTTAAACGGATTAATGAAATCTTCTGCAAGAAAGTTGGGATAACTCCCATTGTAGACTAGAGAAGATAATAGAGTCTCTGCTTATGTGGGATTGGATATGGGTAAAATATTCTACTGTGAGTTATTCCCTAAAATATAGTTTATGATAACAAATGTAGATACTAGGAGTTTGACTCTTGTTCAAAGCTCTACTCATACAACACCAACCACTATGACACAAATTACCTACACCTACTATTCGCCCATGATGATTTGAATTGTTCAGTCCTGTAAAGCATGTCGAGCCTGTGTCTCTACAAGCCAGCACATGATGCACATGATGTAGAGCCAACAACTCCAACCATAACCAAAATTTCATTTAATTTAAATGAAACATAACAAATACACTTAAAGTGTACTAAGTTTAAAACTTGCCTGTAGATAGTATTTGCTCTGCAATCACCCATAGCAGATTGGTAATCATCCAATTTTTATTCTACTATTCCAGTCCTGATAGGCGCCATTCACATGCGAGCATGACTGGGATACCTAGAAAATAAATATTTTTAAATCATTGCAACTGTAACATAACACCAGTAGCCACCAAAGATTTACTCATTCACAAAATGAATATTAATGTTAGAAAAACTGCATTGGAAATATCTTAGAAGAAAACAATACTTACATCACTCCTGTTGGTTTAAGTCAGCGGTCACGAGCACATATAACAGAATCGAACATAGATTCTCGCAGAAGCAAGTAACCCATCCATTCAGATATGATGACATCAACTGCAAAGTCATACAAACACTAACATTTTTTATAAGCTAGAAATCTCATCCAAACTGAACCTGAGCTAACTGAACCTTACAAGTTTATCAATGCTGGAAATGTTAATTTCAACTTATATATAAAAGTATTACTAAAAATTCTAGAACTGCAATGAATAATAAGAAAGCATAAATGTAGAACATTACAAAATTTCAAGAACACATACCGCATGTGGAGACATGGCGGGAATTGGAGGAGTAATGTGTGATGAGGTTCCGAAACTGGTGGTTGATCGGAATTCGTATCTTGTTAGGTTGGGGAGTGTTGTGAATTGGGTCCAATCCCGGCCGATGTAGAGTATTGAAGAGTGAGTGTGCGCATAAGGAGTCCAAATACGAATTTTATATATGATGCATAAATAAGTATAAAACAACTAAAGTGACTCCAACATATTTTCAAAAGATAACAACCTCCAA